CCGTAATTAAAAAGGGTCGCCTCTCGTTTGTAGTTCAATGAGCGCAGTGCTCGTGGACAGGAATATCGTTTATGAATGAGTAAAGTATAAGAAGAGGCCGATTTTTTCGAACGGACCCTCTCCTTCCATTCCCGGGGTCCGTACTTGAATTCATGCCTTACTCATCCCACATTCCTATGTACATTCTTTCAACGGAGAGATGAACTTCGCTGTACATGTTGTGCTCGCTGTCACCGTCAGCCCAGCAATTCTTATTGTATATGTGTGGTTAGTCATCTCCCGCCCTGAGTGCGCAGCAGAAATCCGATCATACGTGCCAAGGCCAATAGGCATTCAGCTTCAACGAAGTCGGTCGGGAACATCTGTCAATGTACTGAATCATAGTTCATATAATTCCTAATAAGCATAAAGATAGATAGGTTCTACTCGGAGAACACGATGTGAATACTGCTCGATACAACGAATGCGAAATATGTCAAATATGATGCAGCGAAAGATATAATGAAAACTGTTCGAAAGGAAGGTAGAAACTTTGAGATTCCAGAAAGAAAAGACAAAAGGAGGAGGGGGGTATCCGAGAAAAGAATGAAAAGTGACAGATGGAAATAAACTTAGGAGGCTACATGTGATACTAATAAGATTAGAAATGGTGGATACAGCGGAACGATGGAGTGACTTGGTAGCACTTGGTAAGATGAATAGAATGCGAAATGAGATGACGAGGAGAAATCCGAATGGAAAAATGAAAGGAATACGATCCGAGGCGAACGCTGATCACGCGTGTTTTTTTCAAGGGGAAGGAGGGAGCAGAGGAATAGCTGCACTCGGGAAAGATAGGAATGAGGAGATAATCTGGGTCTCGGTCTGACTCTAGCACTTTGGCACTCCTTTCCCGACGATCCCGCGCATCCTCCGCCGCGCTCTGAACATCCCAAATTGTACCTGCAACGAAAGCGAAAGCCATTGTCGCCGAAAGTTTTCGTTCCGGCTGGATTTGGGACTATCATTCGGCGGGTGCATATCTATGTCACGAGTAGCCCTCGATTCCAAAGAGACTTCGGTTTCGCGTATGTCGGTATGGCTAGCGCGCGATGGAGAAGGGGGGCATGGGGTTGTCAGAGAAGGGGAAGAGGTGAGTGATGTCAAAGAATATGGAAAGATTGGCGAATGCGGTGGAGGAGATGTAGACCGAGCCCGACGTGTATGATGGCGTGTAAGTCGAGCATGTGTATCAAAAGAATCGTATCCCTCATCGCTCGACTGAATGCACATGTCATCCTCTTCTTCATCATATCCATATCTGTACGCAGCATTCCTATTTCTCCTCTTGTAATCCCGTCTATTCCGACCATATCCCCTGCTGGACGCGGACGTGCTTGGGGACGATGTGTATGAGTGCTGAAGATCGTCCTTTGTCAACTTTGATTCAGTGATCATGGATAAAGACAAAGGAGAAGGCGGTTGAATTGACGGCTGAGGCATGTAGCTGGTTTCCAGCTCATAGCTGGAGTCATAATCGTAGTCGCCATCGTAACTCGATTCGATGTTGTTCGAGTGAGAGCTGAACATTGCGTGTGGTGTAACAACGGCGAGCACTGGATACCCAAGGATTGAGTACTGAGCGTGTTAATGGCCGGGGAACAAACGTTCTCGTTCCAACTTGAAAGCCGGAGAATGAGTGTGGGAGGACGAGGAACCACCCAACCGAACCCTGTGGGCCTTATATACAACCTGCCCGCAACACCTGTTTTGCTAGAAAGAAAGGGAGACGAATAAGGAAATACACGATGACACCACAAAGGGAACACCTTACGGCATCATTTCCTCTGCTGTCGTGGATAATTCACCGGTTCGGTTCGCTCATTAAGCAAGCTTCGAGGTAAAGCATACGGTAGATTGACACAACGTGGAAAGGGTAAGGCTATTGTATCCTGGAAAGCGCCTTCTAACCGTGCATTCCGCCTTTTTGCGTTTTGAATGGTTCTTTGAACGACAACATGAGCGCTCGGGAGCCATGAATAAGCTCCTATCGCGATTGTTTGTTGAAATCTTTTAGAAAGCTGATTTGCGGTGCTGCGGTCGCCGCTGTGCGGTGAAAAACTATGAAGTAAGATGGAATAGCGGGAGCGAAGAAAAACGGTTTATTTCACCTGCAGTCCCCCAATCTTGGGTATATTCAGGCTACGAATACTTGTAAAGACGCAGGTCTGGATCCACAGTGTATGAATCTTCGGTCATGGTGAATCAGACCAGTTTCTAGATGTCAGTTCAACAGTAAGCAAGCACATGCACAGCACTTCAGAAAGGACCTCATCGTCGGAACAACCACCTGCGGTTTCTGCAACATGGTTTCCGAACGGTAATCACGCATCGGTGGTGTCCTTCCTCCTAGATACAGCTTCTTCTACTTTCCGGGGTGTATTAGGTGTAAGTACTGCAGAGAACTTGCTGACCCACATTGGCATGAGAAAGCATGATAGTAGACTGTTCGGGCAGTCGTGAGTCATGTTCTCCTCTAATGGCAACGGCGGTATGATAGGATCTTCACTGACGATACTACGTCGCACCCAGGCCCAAAGAATCCACGATCGCAGCCAGGAGGGCATGTAGTTTCTAGTGACGTGCGTCAGGGTTTAAGAGTATACTGAATCAAGAAAAAGGTCAACAGTACTTGCATCGAGATATTCAGCGACGGCCTAACTACATAAATGTTGGTACTCTGATTCGAGTTAACCGAGAGGGATATTCATGATACAACGACGAGGTGTAAGTATCGCGACGGCATCGCGCTGAGCCTCACCCGAAGAATTTGTGCGCCAGACGTAAAGGGTGCTGGCCCTGTTCAAGATGAGTACATACAACAAAATGGGGTCGGCGAAATAGGGTCGGTGTTAAACATGTGTGAATTTCCGTGATATACGCACAGATCTGGGATAAAATGAGATGAAGGATAGGCCTGGTCGACTAAACGGTTTAAATTTACAGTTTCTAACTTGAGATGTGTAACCGGGATCGGCGACATGCGTACGGTGAATTCGGTGAAGGTGAAGATTGTAGTACCTCGATACAACCTCGATACACCCCAGTTTCGAGGTTAGGAGAACAACTCTATAGATGATCAGCAGTCCATCAATCAGGGGGCAGAAAGAGCGAGGGACTAACCGGCATCTACTTTGAGGGGCTTCAATAGTTCAGAGTCGCTAGAGTCTACCGTCATACAGGTCTGGTCGCACTAAACTCTCTTGCCAACAGATAACTTGATGGTTAAATCTTCTTATCAATTCGTTCTTGTAAAATCTGGCTCGCCTCCCGAAAAGCCAAACAGTGCCTCTGGAGTAACAGCTAGTCCTCGCACATCGTCTAAATGACCAAATTTCGCGACATTATGAGGCACCCAGTGAACTTTCCCGATTCGATGCAGCGCGTCCAAGTTTCAATGGCCTCTGATTATTGCAAGGGTTCATCTTCCTTGGAATCACAGCACCTAGTCCAGACGATGACCGTAAAACCTCGTAGGACGGAAGATAGCTTGAAAACTTACCCGACTGGTCAGCTCGAAATCACATGGCCCATTCTCTCACGGTCGCGTCAACGCGGGTCAGCCTCCCAGTACTTGGTTGGTACTTGGACAATAGTAATGAACATTTTCAGACATGAAAACCACCACAATCTGCATTCGGTATCCGATTAAAACCGCTCTTGAATTCCGCCACTTCACCACTGACGAATGCCACAGGTTGGTTCCTCGTTTTCAGGATACGTACAACAAAACACGTCGAGTCCGCCGGTTGTGTTTTACCTCTTTCACGTATCCATGAACTATAAGCTGTGATTCTCCAACGATTATCAGCTGCTACTACTCTAGCTCATTACCGTCGGTTAATCTGGTTCGTTTGCTTAGGTTGATCCTCGAGGTTAAGCGGTTCCACATACAGCCTCGAGGCTGTTGCCTCTGATTTATACACCTCGATGAGACAAGATTTTCGATTCTTAGTATAAGTCTGTGCTTGGTCAGCTGCGTACCATGCTTTGGACCTAACTTTTCAAAGCGTCAATGAAAATTAAGGAACAAGCTCGATGGTCGATAAGTAATCGCTCTGAACTCTGATATCGAATTGCTTCTCAGCCGCGCCCCCTCCACTGACAACAAACAGCCTTCGCACATCTAGATGAATGAAAATCTTGGCCTTCTATTTCTCATCGTTTCCATGCATCCAGCCGCAGGCCTCGAGGATTTCTCGCTGGCCACCGAGTGTTCATCCAACATACTGCTTATTCTGAACTAAAGGTATTGCATGGTTCGTCTTTTCACTCGAAATCAGCACTAGTCCTAAGAGCAAGCGCGTGTTGCGCCACAAGTGCGCTACTGATCCCTCGTGCATCGTTCACTTGTCAACCCTTCAAGTTTAATGAATTAGATTATCAGAATATATGATGGAATTCATCACTGTTCCCGCCTCTTTGACACAAAGGCTCTTGAATCGGTATGATAGTAAGCCTAGGTAAGCCTGGAGACCTCGAGGCCCAATGCGAATCAATACTTTCATATTTGACTCAAATACGCCTCGAGTACTGTATCCCTTTAATGACAATGAAAGCAGTCTACAGTATACGTACCCCCTATAATCATACTCGTCATCATGTCAATCATGGAACATTATAAGTAAGCTAACTTCGTATGTAAACTCTTTCACATCACCTTCTAGTATCTGTAGCGTTGGCAGGCCGTATGAGCGGGAAAATGTTCAAAGTTCGGGCAGAATTACTGCTTTCATAGCCCCCTGAAATGAAAGGTCGAGTCGTTCTGAATAGACATGATGCATCCAAAGTGATATCACGCCCTGGAAGAAATTTGAGTTTTCTGGACTCAGTCAGTAACATCGTCAGAAGGTCAAAGTCAGACCGCTGGGAAGGTTAGAAGATCTACTTGGGTGGGGAGTCCGCTAAGCGGTTACTAAGCGGCGGAACGAGAATAAAAAATCACAATCAACACTCATCTATTCCGACACGGGGAATCGAACCCGAGCTATCGCGACCAGTCAAGATTGACAAATGAGAGGCGATAATGTTAGCCACTACACCATATCGGAGCAATTGGATAAGTCTACCTGTGAGACATCACAAAAGGGCCTGGAACTCCAACAAGCTGTCAATATTCTGCATCCTCTAATAATATAGCAACCCCGCGCATAAGGAGTTCTTGTCTGCGGCAACATCATCATCAGAAACATCCAGCAGCAAGCGAGGAAGGAGTTCGGTGAGCACGCACGAGAAATATGGGAACCGAGTCCTCCTTTCATCCAAAGCTTGGTTCCAGACTCGCGTCACATCAGTGCCCAGCTTCCCTGCACAGTATGCGCGCGAGCTAGCTGACATTCATAAGAAACTCGATCGAGCGAGGCAAGAATAGGTCGCAGTTAGACGCAAAGAATCTTTGAAGCAGCGACAGCCGCAGGTCGGCTTTCAAATAAAGGAGATGGTTTTGTAGGCCAGACCAATGCCATGATCGAGAAAGCCTTGAAGAGAAATTTAGCAAAGAATGTCAACACGGAAAAGAAACCGAATTGAACGAAAAATTGCACCTACATGATACATGGTAGTCAAATTTTTCCTCATCCGGACATATCTCTTTCCGCTTCGTCAATCAATATTCTTTTCCACTAATCAGCCTTCCATTCTCGGTGTCTTTCCGACTCTTCTATGTAGGAAGTAACATCAGTACTGTCTTTCAGCTTGTTCTTCCCGCTCTTCACGGACTTTTCCTAAGTAGATCAACTCGGATTCCCCTGTTCAGAAGAAATATACCGCAACAGTAGGATCGAGAATATGTCAGATGCCGAGCTAAAAAGGACGCTCGGCATCAACGTCCAGCGGAGCGGTAGCGAAGAGACGGAAGCTATTCGCTTCTTGCTACTGCTCCTCTCAGTCGTCTTGCCACGCCTCACGTAGCGTCGAGTCGACAGCAATCTTTTAAATATGAGCCTGCAAGATGCCATGGCGGTTCGGACAGCTGTCAGATGCCGAGCTGAGCAGTGATGCTCGACATCAACGTTCAGCGGCGGGGCTACGAGACAGAAGCAATTGGCTTTCTCCCTCCAGTCGCCTTGCCCCTTACCCACAGCGTCCAGTCAACAAGGATTCCTTTGCTTCCAGCACGCACATATAGGCTCTACAGCTTCTTGCAGAATTCTGCAAGGAATCACCGTTAAGGAGTCGCTGGGTGATTCGGCATGCAAACAAATCAAGGCGCCAATACACTTCAAGGTATCTGCGTGTAACAACAACCCTCAAAATCATCTACAAACTCTTCAACAGTTCCAGCAATAATCCCAGCAATTGCTATCGGAAGGAAATCGACGGAAGAAAAAATACAAGCAAAGGCTTAGTAGTGACCCCGACCCGGCTTGAACGGATGACCTTGAGATTTGGAATCTCACGCTCTACCAACTGAGCTACGGGATCATTACTACAAAGGCGGACTCAATAATCACCACCTTGCATGCAAAAAAGGGTCAGTGTAATAAAGGTATGCTGGACTCTGTTTATATTGGGAGTCGGTCCGCAAATTAAATTTTGGAAAAAGAAGTGGACTGTTGGCGCTGCTGCTGCTCCGCCTCCCTTGGTATCCCAACTCATACTCATTTCTGAAGGGAAGACGGACTTTACAATGTAGTAAGATCCACCACAAGCTGATGTATGGGGAGTATCTTGTGCAGTATATCTTTTCAAGAAGTCATCGGGTTATCGAGCCACAGCCGTGAAAAAGGTAAAACCAAAGCATGTGCATGTAGTAACGAATCTAGTTCTAAGGCATTGGAAAAGTTACCACCTTACCAGCACCACGAGGGACTCTAGGGACTCAATCACGAGGAAGAGGAGGAAGGAACCCCATTCTGGTTGTTGCTCTAGAAATTGCTACGAGAGGAATACCACAGCGATGGTTGCCAGATGATCTGGAAAAGTGTAATATCATGCTGGTATAGATGACAAGCGACAAAGGGTCCGGTGAGCAGGCATGACGCAGTCGAAATCACAGATGATTCTTAGATGCAGCGAAAGATGTGTCAGAAGCGAGGATTTCTACCGAGCTAGGTAGGTGCGGTATATGATCGAAACCCACGATCGGTGAGGGACCGAACGATAAGGAGACATCAAGCAATCTGACTAGAACACAAAGGGATGACTCTCGTGGGCCAGCTTTCACAGTACTCTCCTTTGGAATAGCGACAAAACTCAGTAAAATTCGGAGATTTGAGTATGAAGATTACTTACCAGGTGGAAGGGTGTAAGCTGGATAACCAGGATCCAATACTGTGTCGAGTCTACCGGTGTATCTAGGGTTTCTTACCCCGAGACTAGGTTGTTGATCTGCCGTTCGAAGCCATTGAGGGGAAACCGATCAGAAATCGGGAAAACGCGAAGGAGGAGCCTTGAACCCGGTCTAGGTACAGTAATAGTAGAGATAGGAGATGGAGGAGGCCATAAAACTACGTCAAAATGAACTCTGGAGGGAGGTCATGGGTCGCGTGCTGCAGGATTTTGCCGTGTTTCCGTCCTCGAAAAAGATATTCGCCAGCATTAGCCGCTTCCTCCTCTCCCTTTCGGTCTGATTTATTGCAAGATATCAGCAAGGTATGAGTCAACAAGCAAGTAAGCAAATAGACATTCGAAACAGCTGGAGCTGTAGCAAGAGTTTGACTAGGGGAAGGATCGCGTTCTTCGAAAATTTGCGGTTAGAATTATACAAGGGATCAACAACGGAAAATGAGGCTACTGGTTCCTTCATTCCGCAGAAAATCTTCCATATCGACCGCCTTTTCCTTCCTTTGGAATGGATCCAGTTAGAGGACGAAACGGCTACATTTAGTCCTACAATCGCTTAAGGGAGTTGGGCGAGAAATCAGCTTGACCATCTGCAAAGAGCCGTCAAGAACTTAACAGTACAGCCGTAATGAGAATGAATACCCTCTTTTGGTTTATAAGTCTGGCGAGTATGTCAAATGGGATGACTTGAACGAGCAGGTTGGCGAGTCTCGGAGTAGCCCGGAAGTGGAAAATAGCATGCTAAATCTAGCGGAAGATAACATCGTGAGGTAGCGCATCATATAGAAGATTGAATTTGAGTCAGTGCCAGACATTGGGAATCAAACTATAGGAACCAGAGCTGCAAACGGTAGAGAACGAAAAATTTCCGTTCCCACACTCATTATGTTACGGGACTGCAACGCGTCGCGTCGCGTCAATCCGTGCTCGATCCTCTCTCTCATGTGGCTGCAAGTGCCAAGGATGGCTGTGCATGAATGAGAAAATCAGATATCACCTCTTCGGATATGAAGTGGGGTTGGGGACTCGTGATTCAGCTCAATGACTCCTTCAGTTCAAACCCCAAACCGAACGCCAGGCGCAGTTGACATATCTATTGACCCCGTTCCTGCAGACTGCAGTGTTATTTCTCTAACAGCTACAAGAGGGTTTTTGGTTGTGAGTTTAGCAGAATAACTAGGGTACTTACTTAATATATATTCCATGCTGTACAGGCAACGTTATATCCCCCAAAAAATGAACTGTCGAGTGGAATAAACCCAAAGTCACTATCGATCCGAACAACATGAAGCAAATCTGCAGGCGAGCCCAACCGGCCCGGGCAACGCAATCACACTCGGAAACTTCAAGCGAACGCTCGCAAAAGTAAATCGATAAAGTGATCCGAGATCATGCTATTTACTAGTACATTCAAAGTTAGAGTACGGCTCAAGGTGTTCCTGAAACGGTTTTCGAGAAATCTTCGAAACTGCCCCGATGTGATAACATACCCAAAAATGAGATAGCCATACGACATGAGGCACAGCAGAGGCACCGGCATGGATTATTTAAACGGCTTTGTCTACCTAGATAGCAATCAAACCAGCCACCACTTACGTTTACTTTTGCCAGCCTTTTCTCTACACACTCCAAAGATGATTGCAAGCAGCTCTGCAAATATGGTAGGACCAGTAACCCCGGTGGAATTCGTGCGGCAGGCAGTCAAGCCTCTCGCGGCTGTACAAATTGTATGTGACCATTCTTATGAACTCCGAAAGATTAGCAAAATATTTGGAACAGGTTTCATTTTGTTTGTGGGGTCAGAAACCTTGTCATTGTGACTTGGGGGCGCTGAACAGATGTCTCTCCAAAATCCAGGAATGTATACAGTCCTCTTTTTCGTCTATTTCTATTTTCAAGCGAAGCAAGATCCAACCAACAGAAGACCACGCGTATATGTGGTCTCGCTTGCCATGCTGTATCTGATAATTACAGCTATTACAGTTATCGAGACATTGACATTCTATCAATTCTTGATTTCGGATACAACGCTGGAACTTATCTTCCACGAGTCTTCTATTTTAGAGAACTTGAATCCCGATTCCCATTATTTGGCATTTTTGAACTTGAAGTGAGCACTTGCTTTTTCAAAGTTCCAGACTTCTTGTCATTGAGATTTGTGCTTTGCTAGTTCTGCGGCGGGTTTCTTATATATAATTGCGAAGTAAGCACCTGGAATATTTCATCGAGGAATTTCATTTATTGATAAGCCTCAATGTACTTTAGCGTAATCGCCGACGGTATACTTGTAAGGGATTTAACCAGGCTCGAGAATGAAATTTTTTTGCTGAAAACTTCAGTTCTCAGCTTCGTCGATGTTACCATCTTTGGCGACCGAGGCAGTCAATTATTGCGGCCGCAGTCATTTTATTAATGCTCAATTTTTGTAAGAACATCTCTAAATTACATTCACAGTACTAAATTCAATTCCTGACCAGGTCTATGTCTGACTTCAGTAATTGTGGATAGAAAGGATGCATGGAATCTTGGCCATCCACTCTTATTGACATCTGCGAGGCCTCTTCCGGGGGAAAAAATTTTCAATACTGCAACATCATTGACTATTGCATTTGGGGTTAGCACACTGTTGGTCAATGTGCTTCTTACCACCCTCATAGGTATGACACAGCTGTGATCCCCATATCCTACAACCACTTTGATACATGTGTAGCTGGAAAGATCCTTTGGTCTGTGCGAACGACCAATAAATATCTAAATGCTCCCGGTCATGTGAATTCTCGGAAAACAACTTGGCTGGTCAAAATTGTGTAAGTTTATGGCCTCATCAAAGCTTCACTTGGAAGCCCCCCTATATAACACATTTGGACTAATAAGTGTTGATCAGGTTAGAGTCAGGGTTCCTGTATGCCAGCACAATGATTGTAACAATTTGCTTGGTACCCTACTTTAACTCAATATTATTTTTACCGGTTGTTGCCCAGACTATGGTAAGTAGCTTATTTTCTGTTTGGGCAAGGTATTGAACATTTTCCTTCCGGGCGGATAGGGAATTGCTCCTACATTGATGGCGGTTCGAGTGGACTTAAGTGCAAGTGTTCAGAAGGTCTCCGAGAAGGAACAGGTGGACTAGTTACAGAAAAATACAGAATTCTGCTCGCCAGAAACTTTCAAGTCAAGGGATGTGTAAATTTCTTGTTGTTGTACTTGGATAAACAAAAGTAACCTAAACTATATCATTCACAAATCATACGCACTCGACAGTCCTTAGCCCATGCCGAAAACCGGAACTCAAGCAGCTGCTTCAGCATACATTATACCCAACTCGGTGACATTGCAAGCCTACAACCAATATCCTGACCTATAATCACCTTTGAAATAACCATGCCTCGTCACTCAAAAAGACTACAATGCATCGGACACATAATTACCGAGTCTGAATATGAACATTGAAACTGACCGTCATATCGTGTGAAGCGTGTGGATTGATATTCGCATCAGCAGGCATGAAAATCGGCGAGCTAAATCCCTCATTGTTTATCAGGAGAGCGAGGTTACTGCAGGAGTCATGACAGAAAAACACGAACCAGCGAGTAATGAGATTTACGACAACAGCAAACTATGAATAAACAAAGAGACATACTGGTTGTCCGGAGCGGTAATCCAGCTAACGATCATGCTCTCGCCCGAGGGCCGATACTGCATTTGTAGCAGTGTTGAGGACCAGGTTTGTGGCGATCGGGAAAAGGCAAGTGAGAGAGTGAGAGCACTGCGAGTCAAATATGAGCATGGAAATGCTCGAGTGGAATAGCCACGGGACTTGGCAAAACAGCGAAATTTTAAGATGAAAAATACGCACCGGAGTTTGGCCATGAATGAGGGTGCACGCCGGATGACCAGAATACTAATTATCAGGGATAGAAAGACACAATACTTGCGTCCTGCGCCCAGCCGATACTTTATTGAGTCTTCCAGTGTACCTAGCGCTTATCACCCCAAGATGGGTTGTTGAGCCCGTACTGTTTTCCGTCATTGGCCACATCAACACATTCAGCCGTTCGAAGCTGCTGAGGAGAAGCTGATTAGAGATGGGAAAGTGAGAAGGAGAGACCTTGAAGCTATCCAGGCAGATTGATAGTAGA